TTACATTGATGACTTTAATTGTTTTTATTTAATAAATGTGATTGATGTTTTATAGAACTTAATAAAATGTCTCAAATATTAAAATTTAACAATAGAAAAATTAAAAATGCTTTTGTTGATCAACTTAACTTGAAATTATTTTCAAATACTTTTGCATAAAAATATGGTAAATTACAATTCTGGTCATTTTACTAAAAATTTAGCTTAAAGCTCATAAGTTTACTGCTTTTTAGAGTTTGAAATCTAGAAAAGAAAAGTAAGTTATCCAAACACTTTCAAGCTTAAAAGCTTAAAATCAAGTTAAAAGTTGTATGAACTTAGCACAACAAGAGAAAGTAAATCTGAACGGCCTCATGGTGCTCTCTGATATGCTATATTTTCTGATTATAGTTTTGCTTGTTTTATGCTGGTGAGATGATTTCATATGTGCATAGCTTTGTAGTTGGTTTATCTTCATCTATCCTATTTGCTTTTTGTTGAGAATTTCTGTTTTCTAGCAACCAAATCTTAGAAGGAATATCTTCCTAAAGTTGGAGTCGAGATAATCATGGTTGTGCATTTTGAGTAGTATTTTATTTTCACCTTTTATTTGAAAGTTTCAATGTTTTATAGTTTAAGCATCTTCCTTCTTTCTCTTTCTGTTTGTTAGAGTTTCCAAGCAAAGCTCTTGCTTCTTTGATTTGATTTCGGTTTTCTATTTTTGGTTTTTGGTCAATTATGGATAATGCAAACTTGTTCCATGTGAGCTAAGGAGGCGGTTGTGTTCCTCCTTGTTTGTTAGTTTCTCGCTCTATGTTAAAAATTAGATAATGAAAGTTTGTACATCTGGTAACTGATATTTATCCATTTTGGAATTTCAATATTTTAATAATATTTATATCGAAGAATCTATTTATAATTTGAACTTCTTGTCTGCCCCTGCCCTTTTTTGTTGGTTTTCTGACAGTGAAACTAACCTCTCTTATTTTTTGGACTGGAGGGATCCACATGTACCTTTACCGAATCCATTTTACGTAATTGTGGGTTCCGCACAGGACTTTTCACGTCTCCTCATCTCATTGATATCCGGGAAAGATTTCGTTTGAATGGGTCAGTTTTTCATAATTCATTGTAGGAATACGATTTCTTGTAGAAGTTCAATTTCTATATAGATTGGTATGTACAGGGAAATCCCCTTGTAAAGTAGAATCATGATCGACCTCCATAACTGAAAAACTTTTTACTTTTATGGGACTGATTTGTATTTAGTTTTCTACTAAAACTCTCTAATATTCTTCTATATATATTCAGTAGTTGTAAATAAAATATCATGAATAAAAATTTAATAAAAAAAAAAATTAGTTATAAATGTCCATGGTACCAGAGCAGGATCAAGTGGCTTTTTGTGATTGTTAATCTATTTTTGTTATGTTTTAGTATTGGCTACGAGTTAGGGAGATGTATAGTTTACTTCATAAATTTGAATGGTTTAAATATCTGTTTCATTGACAAAAACTGGTCAATTCTAGTTCCTTGATTCTTGTGTTTGTTGAGCATGTTATAATTTATTTCTTTCAGCAATAATTTTGATATAGTAAGATGTTCAGCACTTTCTTTCCTGTCCTGCAAACATGCATACAGACACACACAAAAGTCACAAGTAAAGATTTTTCTGATTTATCAAAAATTTGTTGTTTCTGGTTTGCTGCAGTGTTGAAATATGTGAAGAGAAGTTTTTAACTTACTTTTGGTGGTGCTACAATAGACTCAAGGTATTGTTCTATCCTTTAATTCTAGCGTATTACATGGTTTTCCTTTTGGGAAAAAAAACAAGTAGCATCATTAGAAGGCGCCATTGAGATGTCACTTATATACAAAGGGATTTTACATGTGTGTGTGTGTGTAGATGGGTGTATCTAATTGTAGTACTTAATTGATTTGACTTGTTATGATGGATAAGAAGAATCAATCATGACATAGGACAGACGATTAAGTAATTAAGTTCTTTGGCTGCTATGCTACCTTCAGTTAATTTTAAATTGCATCTGGAACAGAACTTGGAACTAATGGAGTTTTATGCTTGGAATCAATTCACTGAGGCTATACAACATTCTAAACTGCTATGGCGTCACCTTTTTCCCAAGTTATTGGGTTGAATAAGCTATATCATTACATATTGCATAAATTATATCACTAGTGCATCTTGCTCCTTAGAACATATGTTTCACCTTTTTCAAAAATGAGAGTTTAGTCTGCTTTGTTTTTGTATTTGTTATCTTAGACGTCTTTGCTGGGTTGCAGGAAAAAGTTACTGAGGATGTTCCAATGCCTACATTCTTTCGCTTTATTGCTTTACTTGCTTTCAAGATATTTGCAGCAGAGCAGGTTTATGTTTATGTGTATCTTGTGACACTTACCACCTTCATTACAAATGAATTCTACTAATTCAAGAATGCGTATTCTAGTGATAAAGTGCAATAAGAAGTATTACTCTCAATGTTCTATGCAGGTAGATGTTGTAATCTTAGAGGTTGGATTAGGCGGGAGGTTTGATGCAACAAATGTGGTATGTTTTTTCTTTTTATGTTACAGGGGATAGTCGATCTGTAGCACCTTGCAGGCTTGAAAATAACTTCTTTACTTTACTTTACTGGTAGAAAGCAATGTTACTGGCAGCATGTTTCTAACGTGTGTATAAATGGGATAATACTTCAGGTTCAGGCACCTGTTGTATGCGGTATTTCTTCTCTTGGGTATGACCACATGGAGATTCTTGGTTAGTGTTATATTTATGTAATTAGGTAATGGCTCATGATTGTAAATATCACTGGGGGCTTGTATAAGTTAGTTCTGCTGGTGTTTTTATTTCACTCAATGACATTACTTGTCGTATGCTTGTATGGCTTGTCACAATCAGATATACAAGCATGCTTGTATTCTTACATAAACATGCATACATGTGTTTGTGTCCATTCACTTTTTATTGTAGTTAGTGTCATAAATTCATTGACACATTATTGATTCATGATTATTACTGTCTTGAGGAGTGTTTTTATTGTACTTACAGTTCTTTTTTATTTGCTGGATGCCATGACAGGGAACACTCTTGGGGAAATTGCAGGGGAGAAGGCTGGTATCTTTAAGGTGTTTCTAAGAGTCTCCCGAAGTGTTACTTCTTTTATTTCACTATTTAACTTCTTTATTTACCATGCAATTTGTTCTTCCTTCTACTGGTGTAGCGTGAGGTTCCAGCTTTTACAGTGCCTCAGCCTGAAGAAGCAATGGGTGTACTTGAAGAGAGGGCTTCTAAATTGGATGTAAATTTGATAATTCTTTCAGCTGCTGTTATGGTTTCCCACTAGACTATAAAATGACTGATTTGTGTATCGGCACTTCATAAATTTGGCTCTAACTTAATAAAATTGACTTGTGTATCAACACTTAATGGATCTATGTTAATTTATGATCTACCGGTGGTAGGTACATCTTCAAGTGGCACAGCCTTTGGATGAAAGCTTATTAAATGGCCAAAAACTTGGGCTTGAGGGTGAGCACCAGCATATAAATGCAGGTCTTGCAATTGCACTATCTTCAACATGGCTTCAGAGGACAGGTCATCTTGATGTTATCAACCTGAATGAGACTGAAGTGGTAGTCATCTGCATTCTCCTGTCTGTCCTTTGTTTTGCTAGATAGTAATTTCAGCTTTCATATGCTTGGAACAGAATTCTTTGCCTGAACAGTTCATCAAAGGTCTAACTACAGCCAGCTTGCAAGGACGAGCTCAAATTGTATCCGATCAATTTATTGACGCTGAAAGTCCAGGAGATCTGGTGTTTTATTTGGATGGAGCTCACAGTCCTGAAAGTATGGAAGTATGTGCTAGATGGTTCTCTCTTGCAATTAAGGAAGACAATCAGCAACGAAACTTGAATAGTCCGAGTCAGGATTCTGGATCCTCGAATGAACTGACACCGAAGAACCATGATGAAATATCGAGGAAGAACTCCCAACAGGTAAGCCAGACAATTATTATTTGTTTAATTTGCTGAAATTCAGGAAATAACTATACATAATGCGACAGTTGTACTTTCTCTTAACTGGTTAAGCAAATCTCTTTTTCCCCCTACTATCCTCAAATCTTGACCATAAGTGAAAGATGGTAAAAAAGGAAGTTTGGGGCAAGACTTCTGTAGAGACTCGAAATTTAAAGAGAAGTAAATTTATAAATTTAATACGGAAGTGATTAATAGATTTAGGGTTTACATTACTTATACAATAATTTAAAATGCTTAATAGGATTACGAGAATATCCATTCTAAAAGATAAATGAAAATTAAAGAAATAAAACGAAAAACGAAAAACTAA